GAATAGTATTTTTCAGTAAATGCTTTATGGATATAGTTTCTCATTAAAGAGGTTAACATATTTCATAAAAAAACTTTTTCCGATTTTACCTTTGATTAATTAATAGGTTAAATAAGCTATTTCTCATATAAAATTATACTACTAATAATTTATTGTTTATCAAAATTATTCAAATATTTTAGCATAAAAAACAAATCGAGTAATAAACCACTATGACTAGTATTTATATTAAATCCATTAACTGATTGAAAGTTTTAAAATGACTGAAAGAAAGAAAATTTTCAATAAGAAAATTTGACAATAATATTTAAATTATTTGCAAGACTTACTTTTACTTTCATATCATTTTTTATTAATACCAAACACAATAACATTTGTGTTTTACAAGGATATCAGTTTCTACAATAATTTTATCAAAACAATATAGAAAGCAGGGAATTCCATATGGCATGCACCCGATGTTTTAAGAGAAAAAACAGAAGTGATATTCACATGGCATGCATACAATGTTTTAGAGAAAACACAGAAGTGATACGGACAAAGCACCAGGAGCAGCCAAACAAGTACAAAGATATTCACAAGCAATATTAATCAAACTAGCTCTTATAAGGTTTGCAAAAACTTTTCAATGGGAATCATTTACAAAATACAGAGTCTGGAACTAATTAGCCCTGCTCTACAGAAAAGAGAGTAAAAGTCCTCAAACACCCTCCCATTTCTATCTTTCCAAATGACCTAGAGAACAGGCAGGATAGTGAGAGCAAAAAGCTTCACATGGCATGTATCTAGTTAAGTGTTCCATTTTTTTAAATAAAGAATAGCATGTATCACTAATTACAAGCACTAAGGGGGTGCCAACCTATACACAAAATTATTTACAATTCAATCAGGATACCTATAAAATTTCCAAAATCTTCCATAGCTTGCAAAGAATGATATGTTATTAATAAACTCACGGTTTGGAACCATCTATCCCTAACTCTATTGAAATTAGCTTCCACCCCCAAAAGCTCTCCTATTTCTTTTCTTTCAAACAACCCAAAAAATAGCAAGGAGAATGAAATCCACGTGCTTTTCTTATCGCTAATACCTTTCCATGCCCAAATCTCATCTCTTACATCGCCTGCCATAATCCAACTGATTCCCAATTACTTATACACCATAATCCATAATTTGTATGCCAAGGGACACCATAGCAAGATATGATTGCAACAGCCTTCAGCACCCTTAAATAGGAAGCATCCATTCACCAAAATCTTTTCCCTTTTCATTAACTTGTCAACAGTAAGTATACATCCCTCTCTGCCTCCCAAGCCAAAGAAGTCATTCTGGGGGAAGCACTCACCTACTGAATTTACTTGTACATAAAGCTGATCTCAAATGAGTCATTCTAAACCAAGTAGTTGTAGAGTTAAAAAGGGACTCGAACTCATTAACCTCCGAATCATTGAGGTTGCTCATCAACTCCACTTGCCATTTCAGAGCTTTCCCACTAATACCGAATGATTCACTGACTTTGATATCTTTGTTTCATGCAATATAAAAAATCTAAGGGAATTGATCTCTAAGTGCTTCATCCCTAAGCCAAGGATCCGTCCGGAAATTGATTCTTCTCTGATGACCAACCCTTCACTTTATGCATCCCTAAAATTTCTCTCTCCCCATAAAGATTTTCTCCCACAACCCTTTCCTATGTTGTCTTGATGAAAATTTGAGATATTATTCTCTATCCACAGTACCACACTTCGCTTCTATTACCCTTCTCCAAAGAGTGTCATTTTCTATCATGAACCACCAAAGCCACTTGTCCTGAAGCACCTTGTTCATATCCATGAACAATCTCAACCCTACATCACCCTGATGCAACAATTTCTTAATCTAATTCTTTGCCAGTAGATTATATCTCCTTCTATCCTCCGAATCACCCACAAGAATCTGCATTTTATGGATTTAAATCTCTTCGCCACGCTCACTGAGATTGTCAATAGAGACATGTAGTAGATGGAAAAGTTAGTCAACGTGATTTTGATTAGAGGAAGCCGCCCTCCTTAGATAATAGATTTCTCTTCAAACCTACTAACATGCTCTCAAACCTTTCTATAAGCAGGTCCCACACTCTCAAATCTTTATAATTAGTCCCTAAGGGCAACTCCAAATACTTGCTCAACAATTCCACCTTTTGCATCCTGTGACATTTGCCAATCTGGTACCATCATCCTCACCACCCAATCTCATCGATTCTAACTTGATCAAATTAATATTAAGTTCAGAGACTGCTTGAAAGCACCACAAGACACATCTTAGATTGAGAAGTGCCCCCCAATTCACATAACACTAGAATATCATCCAAAAAAAATAAGTGAGTAATTTCCTCCACCTATTCACCCAATCCCACTTTCAGTCCTCTTAACAAATCCAACTCTATAGCCCTTACCAACGACTTGTTCAGCCCTTCCATGGCTACGATAAACAGTAATGGAGATAATAGATCCCCTTATCTGAGCCTTATGGAAGCCTTGAAAAAAGGAAGATGGCCCCCTATTCACCATGTCGGCCAAAGAAGTTGTAGTGTTGCATGAGTTAATCCACTTACACCTATCTCTCTTTAACATATAATCAATAAAACCCCAGTTGAAGGTGATGATATGCTTTTTCTATATCAAGTTTGCAAAAGACCCTTTCTATGTTTCGGGATAATAATTTATCTACCACCTCATTATCTACCAAAGTCGTGTCCATAACTTGTCTCTCTTCCACAATAGCATGTTGACATTCACCTATCAATTTATCCATCACCTTGGTCATCCTTCTGGCTAATAATTTTGCAATAAGCTTGTAGACGCTCCTGACAAGGTTGTTAGCAGCCTCCTCCACCTTAGCAATCGTAACCAGAAAAGAGGAATTTAAAAATTTAGCAAAAGAGTCAGCCTCGTCCAATTCCTTAAAACACTTATAAGATGCCCTCTTTCATAATATGCTAAAATCTTTGTATGTAGCCCATGTTAAGACCATCAGATCCAGGGGTTTTATCCGTGTTACATTGCATAAGTTCATTAAAAATTTCCTCTTCTGTAAATTCTCTTTCAAGTGAGACCAGGCTTGTTTCGTCCAAAGTTTCAAAATTCAAACCATTCAACTTTGGTCGCCATCTAAACTCCTCCTTGTTCAACTTGACCAAAAAAAAAAAATCTTTCATGCCTCATCTCAACTCCTCATTGCCCTACATTACCTGCCGATTAATATCCACCTCCTCTATATAGTTAATCCTCCTATAATGATTTCCATACTATGAAAAAACTTAGTAATCCTACCCCCCTCTCTGACCCATCTAGCTCTCGATTTATATCTCCAAAAATCTCCTCCATTTGCATTATATTAGTCAATTCAAGCTTCGGTGCCTCCCTATGGGCCAAATCTTCAGTTGACAATGTATTTTCACCCTCTTTTCCATCAATAGCCTCAATATCATCTAATAAATACTTCATTTCTATATCTTCTTTCCACTCCTCCTCCTTGCACCACAATTTGATTACAATTTTCACAACCTTCAACTTGTGAGCAATTCTAAAACTGACATTGCCTCTCACCATAGCATCTCTCTGCCAATCACCAATATTACCACAAAAAGCATTATTCTTCAGTGATTTGCCCCAAAACCTGGAAGGCAAGGGCCCCACTTGATCCTCTCAACTAAGACACATGGGAAAATGATCTGATATAGTTCGTTGCATAAACTTCTGCTATATACTCATTGCTTGTATTTTGCAAGAAACTGACATGTCGGGTTCAATTTCTAATCAGACCAAGTCCATTTATCTCCCACAAGAGATAAGTCCATTAATTCCAACATATCAAGCATCTCCTCGAATTCTTCTATACATGCCCTCGAAAAAGGCTCTCCGGATCTTTCAAATCTGCTCAATATTATGTCAATGTCTCCTCCTTCAACCCCCAGAAGATCCCATTTTTGTTTACGATCGTCCAAATCTTTCCATAGTGAGCTCAAGTTAGCGTTCCATTCATCCTCAATTGAAAATGAATATAAATTAAAAAACTCTAGGATTCTCAACTGCACTTCAAAATAGTCCACGAAAACAACTCTTTAAGTTTGCTTTCCATTGAAAGAACTCAAAAGAAAACAATTAATGGAAGCTAGATATCAAAAAATTCAAGGGAAGACAATTTGTTAAAAATAAGGAATTAAGGGGAAAATGAGATGACAAACAAAGACAAAATTATAAAAATTGCAAAAATTTGTTAGCTCTACGCTAACATAGTTACAAAAAAGAGGACATGCCTATTAAATTAAGGGAAAAATTAATTTCCTAGTACCTATGATGACTTTATAGCTGTCCAATTCAGAATAAGGACCCAGTTTCTAAAATCAAACAAAGATATTGCCACTTCTTCCACAGACAATTGCTCTTAAGTCTATCAAAAAAAAAATTACACTCGCTACCAAAGCCTTGTAAAAGTTACAAATTATAACATTTCTATGAATGAGTTGACATTTCTTCTTTTTCCCAAGAAGGTCTAAAGAGCCAATCATTCCTAAATGCTTCTTAAACGATAGTAAAGCTAGCCATTAAACTCATTATGAAATGCAGGAGCTGCATGGGGTCCTAAATAAAGTGGTAGAAACATTCTTTCTACTTATTTAGCCAGCCTTTTGAATCTTATAAAAGAGCCTTAAATGGTGGGACATGAACTAGCAATAGAATCGCAAAGAAGAAGTCAAATGAATCTTGGAACAGATATCTATCTAGCAAGGAGGACGGACTTGCATATTTTTCCTAGATACAAATACATGCCGATGTGCACACACACATATTGGTTCCTACCAATAAGAGTGGGTTGGCAGTGCAACACTAGTATAGTTGACAGGAATATTCTTCCTTCAGAGTGGTTGTTCTGAGGTATAATTTGCTCCACCTAATAAACCAACCTCTTTCTAGAAATTTTCTAATATAATCTAGAAAAATACTATCTGCAGACCACCAACAACAACTAAACCGAATTTACCACTAGGTCGAGGTTTGAGGTACTAAAGAAGGGATGCAGCATGCAAGATATTAGAGGATGACACCAGAACAAACAATATTGAACAAGACAACATTAAGCTTCCACAAAGATTATACTGACGGGTGGGCCTAGAATATTTTTAAGATAAGAGGTCACCAAGCTATATAGCAGTTAGCGGAGAACATTTTCATAACGTTTCCTTTATTAACAGTAATAAAAGTGACAAATAAAACCCTCTCAATCAAAAGGAGCAACAAATAGGTAACTCACAGGCAATGCTTTTTCTACATGCCTAACTAAGGGCACAAGAAGACCATATTCCACTGCCCTAGTGGCCACTAGAGATCCTCTAGGCCCTGGAAACAGAAATTACATTTCCGAAAATAAGTGTTCATAGTTGCAAAATATATGCAAACCAAAATTCTGATATATCTTGCATTGTCCAGTTCTGATTCATAATACTGTTCTAAGTTCTCCTAACCTAGAAACAACATTCCTTATAGTGAAGATAACTGGCAGGGAAAAAGGGTAAACAGCTCAAGGGACCTTCGGGCTTTCTTCTCTGCATTTGAATAATGGACGCCTATTATACTCAACCATTCTCAAAATTTCAGTTAAAATTTACTATTAAAACAGCACAAATAGGTTGAATCAGTAAAACTTCAGTCATCATTACAAACGCCAGACATCTACCCTTAATCCCTACTGTACACAAACCGAATCGAAAACATTTTTCAGCTTCTATAAACAATCAAACAATGACTCATATATACATGTCACTTATCAGTGAAATGAAAAATTCGATCGATCAGTATGCTACAACCAAAAAAGGAAAACCTGAAAACAAATAAATACACTCACAGGTCTCCTCACGGCAACACGCAGAGGTTGCGCCTTGTTTGCGGCATCAATCCGTGGCGGATAAGGCCCGAAAACCAGCTGCCTGGGCCGCCACCGCGCAGTTGATGGCTCCTCGGAGCCCACTTCGCAACCTCGAGTTCCACCTTCATTGCTAGAACTGACCTCATCCATGACCCAGAAGAACAAATCAAGCTTGTATCCACCGACTGACCGTGCCTAACTGCTCCATTGATCCTACCGAGCAATGAGAACGAAAAAAGATAACAGCAAACAGAACCGAAAAACCCCGATTAATCAGCAATTAAATTGGGCGCTTTGAGACGAAAATCGGGGGTCTTTTGATGATTCAAATAACCCACCGGCGGATTCTAATCCCATATCTCTCTGTCATTCACTCTGCAGTAATCATAAGCTGTCAATACTCGTCGGATCCATGGAAGATCAGAAAGAAATTTTTACATGTATTATTAGAGGGATAGACTTCTATGTTGGATTATGAAATACCATACACTAGAGATGAAGATTTTATCGATTCTATATTGAAGAAAGAAAAAACAATGAGGAGAGCTATACAGACGTATGTATATGTATGAGAGTAATGGATTGAGAAGTATGATAATTGAAGAGAAAAATTCAAAAGATTGAGAGGAGAGAAAATTAGGGATTGGAGAGAAAAAGAAAATAGTTTTTTAGAGAGAGAATTTTCTTTCGTCTGAAGTTGAAGCACCGTGTTTCTTCCTCCAAATGGGAAGCTTTCTTTTTGGGTTTTTTTTATTTTATTTTATATTATTTCTCACGGTTTAAAAAAAAACAACAGCCAAGGCGTCAGGAGAAAATAATATATTTATATATGTATATATACACACGCACACACACACACACACATACATATTAATAGAGCAACGATGTCGTTTCATTTAATTCTATATGATTAAATCTTAATTACATGATCCTTCAAAAGGAAATCTTAATTACATGATCCTTCAAAAGGAAATCTTAATTACATGATCCTTCAAAAGGAAATCTTAATTACATGCGGCAATAGGAGTGCCATCATATTAATAGAGAAGATGAATCAATAAATTAAAACAAATCTCATAAAATTCTCATGAATTATCCAATAAGTCGTATTATAGGAAAGAGAATTTAATTTTCAAATAATATGATAAAATATACATGGCGTAGAGAAGATATATTTTACATCTTGCATTTAATACAAGATTTGTCAAAATCTTATAAGAAAACTCGGTCCATGAGATAAAAGATTGCGTAGTTAATACATAATTATTCTGCACTTTAATATTTTCCAACCCCTTAACTCCTCAAAAGCAAGCAAATAGAACAAAAGACCTTTTTTTTTTCTAGTTATAAGAGAATTGTGGGAGATTAAATGAATTGTCTTAACTCTTCGAATTGCTTGATGAAACCAAACACAGGTTACAATGGAAGTTGTTTGTGTATGCTACATCGTAGAAGAGACTGGTTGAAGAAGATAACAGGAAAATTTTTATAATGATTATTATTAATGACACATTCAAGGTCGCATGAGAAAATTTTTTTAGTGATAAAAACTCTAGTAACACAAAATAGAAGGAGGCTTGAATTGATGAAAACATCAAAAGGTTTGCTCACACGAGAAAATAAGTTCTCTTAACCTAACATTATTTCTCTAATATCATCTCAAATCTAAAAGTATATATTAAAATATTTTTACGTAATTATTTTAAAATTTTGGATAATTTTATCATATTAAATATATAATGAAGTATATAATCTATTGACTCAAGATGAAGAAAGTCTATATTTAAACCTTATTTAAATAAATCCATATTAGTCCAGCAAGAAGATAATGAATATAAAAAATATTAAGTTTTTGCAAAATATTATAAAGAAAACACTTATTTGAAATTATATCTATGTTTATATGATGCTAGGAAGACTTCATTTAAGAACTGTCCACCAAAACATTTTTTGTTATCCATGGATATAGACACTCCATAAATAATTCCAAATAGAGCAAGCTAAATTTTCACTTATTATGAACAAGTGTGTTATAAAAGAAAGAGTGAGTCGTTTTAGATATAATATATATGAAAAATATGTCTAACCTTTTTATAACCTAATGATATTCAAATCAAAACCCTAAACTAAACTGGGTATATGCCATGACATGATCATAGGATTGATAGCTTCACCATGAATCTACAATTAAGATTCAAGGGCAGTTTGAACTTAAGAATGCTAAAGATCTGAGTATCCTTTGGATATTTATGATCTCACCATTACCTAAATAAAGACAAGTTTTATTTATGAGAATAGATCGAGACTTAAACTGTCTCTTAAAGAAATAAAAGTTTGTGGTTTTAACTTGAACTCTTAGGAAAATTGTGTGAGAAAGATATTTGGCTATAAGAAGATAAATTTAAGGTTTTGGGATATTAGATAGTAAAACCTAATCTAACTTACCTATGGAGGACATATTAAAGTCTTTAAATCATTTAAAAATAACCTTTCTAATTTCTAAGGCCTAAAAGACTTTCCCAACTAATGGGCGTGACTCCATTTTCTTTGTTCATCTTTGACTAAAGTCTATTATTATTTATCCATTTTAG